CGATTTCTCTCGTCATGCTGATCAAGACTATATATACTTTATGGAGTCGGAGATGCTTCCTTCTGTATGTTACATACTTTGCACAAACCTAATATACCCTGTTTACCCTACGGGTACAGGGTATAAAAATGTGGATACAGCTCAATGCAGCTTTTTGCACGATCCAAAAGCATGTCGAACGAGTGTTTTAGCTCGTTGGCTGGTATGGCCGCCAGTATGCCGGTGCAAGCCTTTTGAATGGCCTCTACGTCTACATAACGCTTTTTTTTCGTTTATGTGCAAATGCATTTTTCCGAAAAGGTAGAAGTCGCACGGTGCCATATCAGGTGAATACGGCGAGGCGGTTAATGGTTTAAATGTGATTTTTGGCCCCAGTTATGTATGCATGTATTGAATAATCATTGTTTAATTTAATTGATTAATTACATTTGTATACTCTGTACATGAAATGTACAATAGTATATTAGGTTTGCGCGAGCAGAAAAATGTAGCAGGCAGAAGGAGGGGTGACAGACCCCACAAAGTATACATATTCTTGATCAAGATGACAAGACGAGTCGATATATCCATGTCCGTCCGTCCGTCTCTCTGTCTGTATGCATGCAAGGATTTTAGAAAGTATAAGAACTAGAATAACCAAACATGGTATCCAGATTCTTCTAAGTCCATGAAAGGACGAGCTTCTGTTTTTTTTGCTACCCTCCACTACCCCGCAATTCATGTTTTTACTCCATAACTCCCGTAATTTTTGGAATTTTTGATTCAAATTTGGCAAATACCTCCAGTTAGTAATTATGTATACCAAGTTTCGTCATGATAGGTCAATTATGAAGATATTTAAAGCCATAAATATAATCTCTGCCCAAGCTCTGCGGCAGCTGTTGTTTCTGCTTTGACACTGATGTAAATGTATCCTGTTGAAATTGTACATAAGCACTTATGTGTGTTAAATATTTTATATTTAATTTAATTTGTTAATTAAATTAATTGTTTTTTTGTATGGGGTGGTACAGGGTACTTGTTGACTTTAGCATTACTTTCTTGTTGAAATTTGCATATCATTACGAATCGGATTTCAATTTTTGGCCACACCACAACGTTGAACATTCTAGTCAGTCGTCTGTTCGATGCCACAGGCAATCCCCAAATCTGGATCTCGTATCGCCAGATGGGCGGTATAACCAGATCATATACAGCCCTTTGGCATCGTAGAAGAAGCTTGCAATGATGTGCAGCTTATCTATCAGGGAGGGCCTTAAAGCACTTAACATTATTAACATTTTTATACCCTGTACCCGTAGGGTAAAAAGGGTATATTAGGCTTGTGCAAAATATGTAACATGCAGAAGGAAGCATGGATCTCAGAAACTATAAAAGCTGGAACAACCAAAGTTGGTATCCAGATTCTCCTAGGTCCGAGAAAGGACGGATTTATTTATTTTTTTTTTTAAACAGTAACTTCGGTGGTCCCACAGGGTAGTCATTTAGGTCCTCTACTGTTTACTCCTTACACTCTGTACATGAAATGTACAAGAGTATATTAGGTTTGCGCGAGCTGAAAAATGTAACAGGCAGAAGGAGGCGTGGTAGACCCCACAAAGTATATATATTCTTGATCAGCATGACAAGACGAGTCGATTTAGCCCTGTCTGTCTGTCCGTCTGTCCGACTGTCCGTCTGTCCGTCCGTCCGTCCGTATGATCACCTAGATCTCAGAGACTATAAGAGCTAGAGACACCAAATTTTGCACAAAGATGCCTTATGTGTGTACGCTATACGAGTTTGTTTTATTTTTTTGATTTTCCCCCCCACTTCCCCCCTATGGGGGTTTTCCCGATTTTCCATTCGTATAATCGCCTATATCTCGGAACCTTTAAGACCTAGGGACACCAAATTTTAGTCCAAGGTGCCTTATATGAATACGCAGAAAATGGGTATTGGAATTTCCCTCCCTCCCCCCTCTCCCACGCAAATTCGATTTTCTCTAACTCCCGTAATTCTTGGAATTTCGAACTAAAATTGTGCAAATATCCCCAGTTGGTTATTATGTGTCTGTGTGTCAAGTTTCACTATGATAGACCGATTGAACAAGAAGTTATAGCCATAAATATATTTGCTACTGCAGCGCTGCTCAAGCGCTGCCCAAGCGCTGCCCACGGCTGTTGTTGATGTTGCTGTTTAGTTGACTGCGAAAATGCTTACACAGACACAAATAGACGCACATAAACATACATACACTCACATAGACGCAATTGCTTTGTATATGTGCAATTATATACCCTTTACGTGAGTTCGAATACCATGAAAGGTAAAATCGATCAAATTTTTTTAAATTTTCTTATTTTTTTTTTTTTCTATAATTATTGTAAACATATGTACAGAGTATTTCAAAGTCGGGACACCCGACTTTAGCTTTTTTTACTTGTTTTATAAAGGATCTGCCATCATCCCTAACTTACTCTCGTGTACTAATGTATGCCGACGACGTAAAACTTTGCCTCTCATATAACGATGTTCAGTTTCATGATAATTTACAGCTTGATCTCAATGCCTTCCAATTGTGGTGTTCGCGGAATCTGTTGAACTTAAATTTTGTTAAATGCAAGCTAATGACGTTCCACCGATGCAAGCCTCACTTCATTTCATATTATTTAAATAACTCTCCTGTAGACCGCGTTTTGAATTTGAATTTGAAGACCCCTACACAACACTTATTTTGTATACGGCTTTGGTGCGGCCTACCTTAGAATATTGTTGTAACGTCTGGTACCCGCAATATGAAATACATAAAAATCGCATTGAATCGGTTCAAAAGCAATTTCTTTTGTTTGCCTTACGTGGTCTTGGATGGAGTAGAACTGACCCTCTACCATCATATTTTCACAGGCTACAATTGTTAGGTCTTCCGTCACTTGCTAACCGCCGGATTTTATTAAGTGTTGTTTTTATACATAAACTAATTACCGGCGACATCGAGTCTTCGGTGCTTGTTAGGCAAATTAACTTTACGGTACCACAAAGACCTTCAAGATTTTTTGTTCCCATAAGCCTAAATCGCTGTACCAGCAACTATGCTTTGCACAGTCCGTTTCAGGTTCTGTGTAGCAACTACAATAATTTGAGTCATCTTTTTGGCCATGAGAGTTCGGTTAGTTCGATTAAATCTTGCTTACTTAATTTCCTGATCCGGTCTGAATCTCGTTAAATCGTTTGTAATTCTATTTTAATTTAAATTTTTATTTTTTATGTTTTTTTTCAATATTTGAATGTATATCTATTATGTTATTTCTTTTCTTTATGTTTAACATTGACAGTTATTTGTCAATTAAATAAATAAATAAAAAACAAGATAGAACGCTACAGTCAGCAAGCCCGACAGTAAAATAGCCTGTACTCTCCACAAAAAGGAAAATTAAAAAAAAAAAAAATTAAATTATTAAAAAAAAAAGAATGAATTAATTAATTAAAATAATTAATGTTAATTAAATTAGAATACATGTTTATGTTCAGTTTAAACAGCATACATTTACATCACGTACCTATGCGTGTTTATATGCGTGTATGTATGCAGCACAAAGTTGATCCAAAGCAGCAACAACAACAACAGCTGCGGGAAGCGCTGCCGACAGAGCTGCAGGCAGCGCATGAGCAGCGATTTTACTTATGGCTATAACTTTCTTCAGAATTGACCTATCATGATGAAATTTGGCACACGGACACATTAGTACTAACTGGATGTACCTACCACAATTGATTTTAAAATTCCGAGAATTACGGAAGTTATAAGAAAAAATACGAATTGCGAGGGAGTGGGGGGTGTATCAGAAAAAATAAACAAACTCGTTCTGCCTAGGGCTTATAGGAACCTTGATACCAATTTTGGTTATCCTAGCTCTTGTACTTACTGAGATCCTTGCGCTCATACAGACAGACGGACAGACAGACAGACGGACATGGCTATATCGACTCGTCTTTTCATCCTGATCAAGAATATATATACTTTGTGGGGTCTGCCACGCCTCCTTCTGTGTTTTACATACATGCGCACAAAACTAGTATAGCCTCTCACCCTTTGGGTGCAGGCTATAAAAATAAATAAATATGTATATAGTACTATTGTAACTTTGTGGTACGTACATTGGTACCTAAGTTGTATACATTTTCTCTTTGGGTACAGGTTATAATGAGTGGGAATGGTACAAGCGGGAATGCAGGACAGAGAATTATAATATTATAACATTGATAAGCATTATGTATGCATCTTGGAGTGTAGCACTATAGTAGTTGTAGTAGTTTAAATTAAAAGTAAAATTATGGGGAATTCGAATCAATGTAGACGGAAGGCCGAATATGCTTCACCAGATATAACAAGAGAGAACGGTACAGTCGAGCAAGCCCGACAGTGTAATACCCTGTACCCAGGTAAACTTCCGTCACTGAGTTATATGCGCCCAAAGCAGCAGCAAAAAGAGGAAGAAGAAGAGCGAACTTGTTGCTGCAGTTGGGGGGGAGGGGTTGCGCTGGAGTGAATTTGTTTCGCTAATAATTCTGCTTAGAATTCACCGAATTTAATAAAATTTTAAACAACAGTAGAGAATTATATATAAATGATGTGTGCAGTTTGGTTTAGGTACCATTTGTAATGTGGACGCTATTGACGAAATTCTGTAGCGGAAGAGGGGGGGGTTCATTCGGTTCATCTAATAAATAATTAAGAATACTGCAGTGTAGGGGGCTGGTGCTTAAGCCGCTACAGGCGCCGCCGTCCGAGGTGACGTCCCATGTACTAAGTTTGGGCAAGACCAAAAATAATGAGCGGTATTTATGCATTCCCTCAGTATAGTGCGAGAGTTGTTCCACGTCGGACGCGAGTTTTGTGCACGGAAGCACGGAACATTGTACACAAACATATACAAGCACACATAACTATTTATATCTAGCTATTTATAGCTTATCAAATTTGAAGCACAATCATCTCGAACAATTGTTGTGCTTGCAAAATGGCTCCGATGTATATGCATCAATCTGTGTCTATTGATGTAACAGATCGATCTCCTAGAGAGGAAAATACTAAAAACTTTGAAGATTTGGAGAATATTCCATACCATGTCCGGGAGGATGCACTCCCTTTTACATATGGCAATCTGCCCTCTGGCTTTAGCACTAGTAAGTTAAATCATGTCGATCTGGAGGAAAATAAGTTAAAGCACATGCGGTGCAATTATTCACCAAGTCCATCAACAGTCCGAAAATTCACTCGACCCAGCATTGTGCAATCGAGCCCAGTGTTGCGTAAGACGCCGTCGCGGCAAGAGTTTGAGGAGATGCTAATGGAACGAAAGGAACTAGCCTTGCGCGAGCAAAATAATGTGGCCACCAAGCTAGCACAAAAAGCAGCTATTCAAAAAGACTTAGATGTGCTTCACGAGAAGCTCAACAAAACATTGCTTTGTTCTGAAAATGAGAAGATCTGTCAGCTCAGCGAATTACAAGTTTTTGATCAAGCTGGAAATGTTCCCGTTATAAAATTTGTAGATTTGGCTAATACGCCATCATCAGTAGAGAGAGTAGCTAATGGGAATAATCTGACGGGAACCAACCGTTCTATTACACCCACATTACCGGCCCCTCCAAATGCATCCAGCTCCAGCCATTGCGCACCAATATCTCCACATGCTGACTGGTCATGTCCTACGCAAGAGGTTGAACCGCACTTGGTGAATTTTGCCAAAAATTCTTCACAGTACTGGTACAAGCCAAAGGTGTCGCGCAGAGAGGCCGTCGACTTGCTGCACAATGCACCACCTGGAACTTTTATCATTCGCAACTCGACAACATACCAAAACGCGTTTGGTCTAGTTCTGCGTGTTGACAAACCACCGCCTGGAGTTGCTATAAGCTCTGAAAATGGAGACGAGCTTGTCAGGCACTTTCTCTTAGAGCCAACGACGCGAGGCGTACACCTAAAGGGTTGCACAAACGAGCCAATATTTACATCCCTATCTGCCTTTGTGTATCAGCACTCCATCAACCAGTTGGCTCTGCCTTGCACGCTCCGTATACCCGACCGCAATTTATATATTACCTCAGCCCATGACGACCTTAGTGTCAACCAGAAACAATCATTGGGGCACGGATGCACCTGTAATGCACTTTATTTGTTTCAATGCAACATGGAGTCGCTTACTGGCAAGGAAGCTGTTCGGAAAGCCGTTTATGAAATGTACGGGCAACTCGATCGAGTTTTTCCCATAGAGGTACATTTAAAAATTTCACCACAGGGCATCACTCTAACGGACAATACACGCAAAGCATTTTTTAGGCGGCATTATGTAGCACAGAATATTTCATACTTCACATTAAATCCAGACAACCACTATTGGACCGTTACCGCCTATGATGAAGGCTTAGAAAGGACTGTAAAAAAAAAGATTTTTGCATTTGTAGCTCGCCCTCAAGCTGGATCAAGAGATAACCAGTGCCATGTATTTTGTGATTTGGCTGTCAATCATCCAGCGTCTGCCATTGTTGCCTTGGCTAACAACGTTCTGCCTCTAAGCAATACCCTAAACAATATTATATGAATTTCATTTTATTTTACTCCAACTTTTTGGACATTAATTTAAAGCAAGTGTAAAACTGTATATTGTGATCAATAAAGAAAGAAAATGAAACACAAAGAATACATTTTTTGGCAATGTTTGTTTAATTCTACTCATAGCAATATAATAATACATACACGCATATACATATTCACACAGAGACACGATTCTGATGTAAATGTATGCTGTTGAAACTGTACATAAAGATAGGTCCCCAGTTATGTATGCATGTATTGAATAATCATTGTTTAATTTAATTGATTAATTACATTTGTATACTCTGTACATGAAATGTACAATAGTATATTAGGTTTGCGCGAGCAGAAAAATGTAACAGGCAGAAGGAGGCGTGACAGACCCCACAAAGTATACATATTCTTGATCAAGATGACAAGACGAGTCGATATATCCATGTCCGTCTGTCTGTATGCATGCAAGGATTTTAGAAAGTATAAGAACTAGAATAACCAAACATGGTATCCAGATTCTTCTAAGTCCGTGAAAGGACGAGCTTCTGTTTTTTTTTGCTACCCTCCACTACCCCGCAATTCATGTTTTTACTCCATAGCTCCCGTAATTTTTGGAATTTTTGATTCAAATTTGGCAAATACCTCCAGTTAGTAATTATGTATAACAAGTTTCGTCATGATAGGTCAATTATGAAGATATTTAAAGCCATAAATATAATCTCTGCCCAAGCTCTGCGGCAGCTGTTGTTTCTGCTTTGACACTGATGTAAATGTATCCTGTTGAAATTGTACATAAGCACTTATGTGTGTTAAATATTTTATATTTAATTTAATTTGTTAATTAAATTAATTGTTTTTTTGTATGGGGTGGTACAGGGTACTTGTTGACTTTAGCATTACTTTCTTGTTGATATTTGCATATCATTACGAATCGGATTACAATTTTTGGCCACACCACAACGTTTAACATTCTAGTCAGTCTAGATGCCGTATCGCCAGATGGGGGGTGTAACCAGATCATATACAGCCCTTTGGCATCGTAGAAGGAGCTTGCAATGATGTTCAGCTTATCTCTCAGGGAGGGCCTTAAAGCACTTAACACTATTAACATTTTTATATTTAAACACATATGTATATATCGCCAAGCTAATGATGCATTTAACCTTCAATGAACCAAGATTTTTTCAAACATTTCATGTAACACTCATAAGGAAGCATCGTAAATAACATGTTATGGGTTCATTCATATAGATAGTTTTATCAGCATGATATTCAAGTTCCAATGTCCACCTGTCGGTTTCAATCACGAGACCAACCATGTCAGATCAAGAAGAATTAAGAAAGGTTTTTGTATCAAAAACATGTTTTCTTATAGACATATTGAAACATAACTGCATATTGATTATGTTGTTGTCATATTTTATGAAATACATGAAAAATTATTTCTAATGAAAAATGGGATCGTACGAACATAGCAAGATAAATAAGCTACAATGAAAAGTATAGGGTATACGTGTACATGTCTTCGGCGCAGTCGAAGATAGCTCTGAAATAAGCTATTTCAGTTCTTGTTACTTTTACTTGCTGGGCTGGCAATTAATTAATTATGCATTTGTGATCGTGTTATTAGGAAACTTTCGAAAATAATAATTTTATGCTTAAAATGCGACTTTAAGGTCAGCGACACATCCAACGGGCTCCATTTGTGTTTTATTTTCTGTCGTACATACGTGTATGTATGTATGTATTTCTATGTACTTAAGTGTATGCCGTGAGCAAACGCAGATCAATTATATTCTCAATATTGTGTCCTATAGAAACTTTAATCTAGCACCCTTCAAAAACATGACTATCGATAACACTTGAAAATTGTCATTTCTCAACACGCAAGAAAAGTCTAGTCTATATGTCCCTTATTATGTTCAGAATTTTAATCTGCGCGGAATTTGGATTTCAACAACGTAGTCATCATAACATAAGCTACGTGAGCTATACGATGATACTAACTTCCGGTTGCTTTCACTAGGCTTATGTCGCAGAAAATGTACTTCGCTTACTTGCATTTGCAAGAGTGTTACGCAAACGTGATTTCGTGATATAATGAATGCATTTGAAACATACTATGTACATATATATGTATTTACGTCTAAATCATGTCTAATGCTCATCTACACACATATACTAGTGCATATGTAAGATGAGTGTTTGCATGGTTTTCAGCCATCACAGCCATCTTCAATTTAAGTATACCAACTAATAACTGTCGATGCAAAAGTAATATTTGACAAATGCTGTATTCATTTATTTCGTCAACTGTTCCTCCAGTGTGTGTTCAATAAGGTGGGGTCGCAAAACACAGACTGATTTATCGCATCACCCCTCGTGCTTGTCTATAGCACTAACCATACAACATATACATAGATGCTTCATTTCATATAACGAAAACGTCCCATCAAAATTGTTGTATGGTTAGTGCTATAGTATAGAATGTACATATACATCTAAACATACGCATACATACAAAGAAATTTCAACGCTATGACACTTAGCAGTCTCCTATGCGAATAGAAGCACTAACCGGCCAAGCTTTAATCGCAATTGTAGCTTAGCATCGGCGTAGGAAAAGCATTCAAAAGCTTCGCAAGATCAAGGCTGTTCGGTATCGTACGGGTACTGTTCGCTACATCTATACACTAACTGCTTAAGCTCCCGCAACTCAGCAGCAGTTAAGTTGTAACCGCGCGCACGTGAGGTACCGTCATCGAGTGCACTGTAAATCTCGTTCTTATTGGCTGCCACACTTGGGTGACAAATTGAAACAAACTGCTGACATTGGTAGACTATTCACGCAGCACAATAACTCAATTGTGCAAATTACAGTGATTCAAAACTATTTCGAAATACATATACATGTACAAATGAATAGTGATTTAGTCAGTACGCTGTAAACCTAAGTTGGAAGGGGAACGAGAACATAGATATAAAATGATTATAAAGTGCTGACGCATCCCTAGTAGCAGCGTGATTTGTTTTGATTAATTTAATTCTGAGTACCATTCGTGTTCAAAAACTAGATGCGAAATAGCTATGGCGAACCCATGCAAGCAGATCGAGTTTGGCATTAAAAGAGGCACACTTGACACTATATCTTGTCATTTATATATGTATATATATATATATAAATATATATATATATATATATATATATATATATATATATATATATATATATATATATATATATATATATATATATATATATATATATATATCTATATATATATATATATATATATATATATCTATATATATATATATATATATATATATATGCCCATTTTGCGTACTGACTAAATAAGTATCGCGGCCCACGCCCAATTCCAAAAGCCTACAGGAACTGTTGCTGCTTAAAAGTATTTACGCATTACTGGTAATCGCGTAATTTTCTTGTATACAACTTATGTATATGTATGTATTAATCGCGTCTTCTGTATGCCATTCATGTTCCGAAAACACATTACTTTATTAAATTGCATATCTCGGAGTAGTTTAAATAAACACTTCACCGAGTATGATTGTATATTTAATAATTTCAGTTCTATTATTGATGCAGCCTGCTAACGTTTGGATAATAAATAAAACAAGTTTAAAGCAACAAACACATATTACATTAATTGCTTAAATAATAATCTAATAATCATGTATATAATCCGACTGATGATAAGCATTGGTCTCATTTTAATCTTTGCTGCCGCATTGAGTGCCAATTATCAACAGGAACATGATATTAGGTATTGCACCTATTCTTACCTACTTGTGTTACATATAAGTACATAATTGATTTTAACAGTTTTTTCGTTTACAAATGAAAAGGAAACTGAAAATAATTAAGATTATTGTTAGGGTCTCGGAACTTATAATCGTACGTTCACAGGATTATTCACTTCATATTTTAAGACTGATTGGAGCTTTCTTTTTAGGTTAGTGGCAGCGGCGTCGATGTTGGCCGCTTCGCATTCGGTGGTTGGACTTCGGCCCAATCCAACGGGATTGGTCGGTGACAATTTTTCTTGCGGTCAGGGACATTGTGAACTTATTTATTTTACATTAATTAACTTTGTTGCAGTATATTGCAACAGGGAGACTTCGGATAGGTAGCGGCGATTCCGATCTTTCATATTTTCGTCAATGACAAATCTACTTCCGTTGGCGAATGTTAAAACTTGAAGTTTAAGTAGTTTATTGATCTTATTTGATTTTGTAGCAACAAGTAGCCACTGAAACGGAGAATTGTTGAAATACAACAAAGTAGTGATCTTATATTAGAACATTCATTCGCTTATGCTTATGTTACTACATTCAGTTTATTTATAATAACCCTAGCCCTTCGAGTAAATATACACTTTCATTGCACTTATCTTGCAATGTTTTATTTATGATATGCCAAATGAAGTAACATTTACAAACAATCAATATTTTTTTATTGAAAGATTTCGTCGTGATGAACAAAACTCTAGCGATATGGACGACAGCAGTGGTTTTGAAGAGAACGATGTCGGATGGACTAATATAAATGAAGAAGTAGATGTAGTTACACCAATGGTGCTGCAACATCTTCACACTCTGGGTATAGAACATTTAAAGCTGCCGGATATGAAAGAGAGTCTTTCTGTTGTACGTTCAAACTCAATTGAACTTGATTATACATAATTCTCAAGTAAGCCACTACAATTTGTCTAGAAGCCGCTATTTATTACTTATGAAGCAAGTCTATTATTGACCAACGGAATTGTTTATAACCTTTCTGTTATACGAAGAAATGGGACTGCACTGATGACATATAAAGGTAAATCGTTTCTATGTCGATTTTACTTAAGGATCAATGAGTTGCAGGTAATATTTTTTCATATTATTTTCATACTCAAAAATTGTACATTCATAGATTGTGAAAAAATTCCCCTAACAATAAACATCATATAGTATACTCGGTATCCAAGGCGTACATATTGGCTTACTATTAATGCATATAAAACCCAGATGGATTATTGTTAGACCTCAAAAAGTATACTTGTTATATGTATATTCTTGAAAACGAGACAAGCCAGTATAGCTAAGTTAAAAAATAAAACGAGTTCGTATAGCGTACATACATAAGGCATATAAGTGCAAAATTTGGTGTATCTAGCTCTTATAGTCTCTGAGATCCAGATCTTCATACGGACAGGTGGACAGACAGGGCTAGATCGACTCGTCTCGTCATGCTTATCAAGAATATATGCACTTTGTGGGGCCTGCCACGCCTCCTTCTGCCTGTTACATTTGTCACCTTCCGCAAACCTAATATACTCTTGTACATTTCATGTACACAGTATAAAAATTTAAGTTTAAGAACTTTTAATTTGTTGGTCTCGGTGGACCTTTTCCACAAATGTTCATATAATTCTCCAAAATCGTTAAGAAATTAATGAATATTATAAATGCATTTATTCATCAAACCAATTTTTATACTCTGCAGCTAAAAGGTACAAAAATAAACTATACGATTTCTGCAAAGTTAAAAATGGACCAGGAGTGATGACAGACCACTGAAAGAGTCGATTTATTCCCTTTAACTTTTGTTAAAGGGTATTTTTATAATTTTTGTAAATATTCTACAAAACTCGTAGTTGCAGAGTGTTTTCGAAAGTCGGGCACGCTAATTTATCCATTTATTTGATTTTCTTAAGCTAAATATGGGACAAACTGATTTGCACAGGGACTTTTTCATATGTTGAGCATTGGACAAATAATACATACATATGTATATGCCCTCTATAAACTATTGACTTTATATTTAATTATTTGTCTTATGTACAGTTTGAGTATAATTTTATGCTCAAGGTGATGGCTATTGAGGGATATGGAAAAGTAATTGGGTCACTTGATGACACGATAATCTATGCGGAGCTGGCTGTTAATGTTATAAATTCAAAACTTCATCTTCACGATTTCCGGATTATAGAGTTCAGGTAAGAATACAGGGTGCGCCATCTTTTATGTCGGTATGCAACCATTGAATATCCTTGAAAATAAACAACCGATTTTCAAGTATGAGATATTTTTTTTAAATTTGGTTCTGTACAATTTCTTGAACTGAGGTTTTCAACACTGGTCTACTCAAGTCAATCGGTTCACTAATGACAAAGTTATTCAATATCTACATACCGACATAAAAGATGGCGCACCCTGTATGTTATATATAAATATATATAGTAATAATATTAATAATTAAAATATACATAATTTATATTTATATTTACACCAATGATTCAATCTCCAAGGAATAATTCAAAAAACAGAATGTGGAGTTTTGTTTGTATTTTATTGAATTTAAAAACTTAGTTTGAAGATGGGTTGAAAAATGCGGATTTTTCAAACAAATCAGTTTCCCTTGAAATATTACTGAGAGTATAAAAAATAAGTTTCATAAAAACATTGGAGCCTGTTTCCCAAACCGCTTCTTATATGAAAGGATACTTGAGTCAAAATTTCAGCTTCCTAACTTTTACCATTTGGGCTGTGCGTTGTTCACCAATCAGTCAAGACAAACTGTTTTAAATATATACTATTGCTCACGACGACAAGACAAGTCGATATAGCCATGTCCGTCTGCTTGTATGAACGCAAGGATCTCAGAAGAGAGCTAGAACAACCAAACATGGTATCCAGATTCTTCTAAGACCGAGAAAGTACGAGTTTGAGTTTTTTTTCCGATGCACCCCCGCACTCCCCCGCAGTTCGTGTTTTTTCCATAATTGAATTGGAATTTTGAACTTAAACGGGATGTAGTTACCAAATTTTAGTTCGAAATTCCAAGAGTTATGGAAAAAACACGAATTGCGGGGGAATGGGGGGTGTATCAGAATAAAAGAAAAAAAATAAAATTATTAAAAAAATTGAATTAATTAATTAATTAATTTAATTAAATTAGAAGACATGTTTATGTTCAGTTTTAACAGCATACATTTACATTACGTGTCTATGCGTGTTTATATGCGTGTATGTATGCAGCACAAAGTTGAACCAAAGCAGCAACAACAACAACAGCTGCGGGCAGCGCATGGGCTTTTATTTTATTTATGGCTACAGCTTTCTTCAGATTGGACATATCATGATGAAACTTGGCAAACGGACACATAACTGGATTTAACTACCAAAATTGATTTCAAAATTCCAAGAATTACGGAAGTTATCAGAAAAAACACGAATTGCGGTGGAGTGGGGGGGTGTATCAAAATAAAAAAAAACAAACTTGACCTGACTAGGGCTTATGGGCGGCTGGATAAAGTTTGGTAATTCTAGCTCTTGTACCTTCTGAGATCGTTGCGCTCATCCAGACGGACGGACAGACGGTCATGGCTAAATCGACTCCGCTTGTCACCCTGATCAATAATATATACACTTTGTGGAGTCTGAAACGCCTCCTTCTGTGTGTTATATACACCCGCACTAATTTAGTATACCCTTTTACCCTTTGGGTACTGGGTACAACATTTATTTAAAGGTAATTAAATTTTCTTTATCCTTTTTTTGGAGTGGATGCAGGGTATTTAAGAGTTAAGCCTGATCGACTTTAGCATTCCTTTTTTGGTTACCTTTATATTTTACAAGAAACTTTTTTTTCAGAAACATTCATGTGCAATTGGACCAAACTCGCTTGATTCGACAGTTAACAGGGATTATTTTAAGTCCAATAACAAATTTGTTTAAAGACCGTATTACAACATCAATTGCTGATGGACTGAAAGAGCAAATGCAAATGATAATGGACGATTTTAATAATAAAGACCCACTAGAATTGCGCAAATTTACGAAAAAGCTTTTATCCGGAATATCTGGGTCAACAGACGAAATAATTTCTTAAGCTTATCATAAATGTTATGGAGCACTATAAATAATTTGAATATTCAAATAAAAAACAAACTTTTGATAGTCTAAAGACCTAATCACAGGGGCCTATGTAAAAATTCTCTCGCTCAATAATTAAACTTTTTATTGAATTCATCTCCTGTCGTATAAAGAAAGCTTCTTTTAATAAACCCAGCAATCGTCAAATTATACCGACTAATACTATGATCAAAAAAATTAAAAATATAACAAGAGGACGCCCACCTGGCTTTGTCCGGTCATCACTTCAATAATGCGTAGTTGTAGATTGACTTCTTTGCAAATTTACCGACAACGGAAAAAGATGATGGCATTAGCCTGTAGAGAAATCTCTGCAACTGGGTTAATATACGATAAAATGGAATCCAAGCATTGCTTTATTGGAAAGAGCTTAGCCACAAGCCCGAATAATTTACAATGTCAGCAGATGGTTCCCATTCGTAGACCTGGCGTTTTGTATTACGAGTTTAAGAAAATTTGCATGAATATGATCTACTATATGCCACCACAAGTGTTCATATTTGTCTAAAACACCAGAACTTTGAAGTTGTTCAAGATCGCGCACTTCGTCATCATCATGTCTCCCAATAGTGGCACAATCTATAACTTGTACCATCGACCCCAATTTTGTGACTCTTACAAATATTCAGAGTCGGTTTGAACGACAATGATTATATATAACAGAAACAAACTTGCACAGCGTACACACATAACGCATCTTTGTGCAAAGTTTGGTGTCTCTACATCTTATAGTTTCTGAGATCCAGGTGTTCATACGGACGGACAGACGGACCGACAGACATAGATCGACTCATCTTGTCATGCTGATCAAGAATATATATACTATGTGGGGTCTGCCACGCCTCCTTCTGCCTGTTACATTTTTCAGCTCCCGCAAATCTAATATACTCTTGTACATTTCATGTACAGAGTATAAACATACTACTACGAGTACATCAGGGGCTCTATACTCAGGATTTCGGATACAACTGAAACTGACTCCATCGATCCAATCAGTACTGGGAAGAAATTTTCTATTGCCTTGAATTGTTTATTTTGTCTCTAAAAGAGCTTAAATAGAAAACATTCAATGGATGTTGGAAGAAATTATGACCAGCGGTTGTTTAAACTGATTATATTTAAACTGATTATATGCGAATACCACCAAATGGTTCTTAAATTTTTATATTAAGCTGCTTCAACATTTTTTACGGTTAATGTTAAATATTCAACACTTTGAGTAACATTTTGTTTTTTATTAAATGTTTATTCTTTATTTAAAATCTGTCCTAAGGAGGACAATTATTAAATTATATGGTAATTTCGAAAATGTGTGGACCTTAATGTAAACAGCAACATTTTTTGTGTATATATCCAAATCCCATATTTTGTGTGAATTCAATGTCTCGTTTAACACGATTTCGCTTACCACGAGGTTTTCTAGGTACGCACCCCCGTTTTAAGCGAGGGCTAGGTGTACTTCACTATTCAAAGTAACTGAGTGATTTTCAGAGCCTACTTGTAAGTCCACTTAACTACAACTACGAACATAAGCCATTTTAAATAAGGTAATTTGAATAAGATATTTGTTTATTCATTTATCAGTGTACAATAATGCTATTTATTTAAAACAATAAAAAGATATCTAGGCAAAAGTTGAAGCCAAACTTCCTAAAAGGCAGTCGATTGTATGGATCTAGCAATTTTTAAATATACTTGTATGTATAATATGAGAAAAATGCATAGAAATACTTAAAAAATTATGCTACAAGAAACAGAAATAAATATTAATAAGGCAGTACTGCATTTCATCGATTAAGTCTTAAAATTTCAATCTCATTATAGAGCACAGAGCAAAGCGAGTTTTTCACTAAGCAATACTGGATTCATGGACTAACATGTTATTGATTCGCGACTGACGTTTACATCTTGGTGGTGGAACAGGCGGTGGTTGGTGAGGCGTCTGGTTTCTGGCAGTATTTTCCAGTGAACTTACTGGTATACATAGAGGCATAACTTTGGGTGGCGTTAAAGTTACTAGAGTGTTACCTTTCCTTGTCTTCTTGCAGAATCGACTTGAGAACGAATTTGTCCACTCTTTAATATTAGACAGATGGCATCGGTATAGGTACCATATACTCAGGATTAAAATGGTCAATACAATTATGACTCCAGTCAGTATCGTAAAGTTAAACGATTCATTTTGTGTCCGCTCTATGCTTGTATTGTTCATGTGTACAGATGGTGTAGCGGTTGTATAATACGTTGGTCTAACAGGACGCATATTTGTATGAATCTCCGTTGAAATCGCAATATCCGCACAAGCGCGAAACTCCTCCTGTGGCCCACAGCCGACCGCTCCAGTACCATCATCACATGTTCCCCAATTGTTTCCTGCCACATACCGCCACTGTAGTACGCATTGATTGCACGTTATTTCTAATAATATAATAAATAAAATAATAAAAACTTTACTAATTAAAATATACAATCAATATACATATATCTATATTGTCTATATATTGAAATACGTGGTGTGTTCAAGAAGTAAGGAGACTTCAAATTTTGTTGTCTGCTGTAATTTAAAGAAATTATTACAAGATGGTCGAAAACATGCCGACGACGAACCTAGCTCTGGACGCCCCAGCACATCAACAACAGAAGATATCGTCGCAGCTGTGAAGAAAATTGCTTTTGAAAATCATCGAATAAGCATAAGAGAAGTTGGTGAGTATGTTCGCATATCAGTCGGCTCGTGTCGTGCAATTTTTTCGGATGTTTTGGGCTTGAGACGTGTGTCAGCGAAGTTTGTTCCAAAACTTTTTAATTTTTATTAGAAGAACCGTAGCATGAGCATCGCTCAGGGGCTTTTGAATGACGTCAGTGATGATCCTGATTTTCTTAAAAGGGTCATAAGTGATGACGAATCCTGGGTAAATGATTATGACATCGAAACCAAAGCCCCATCGTCCCAATGGGAGCACCCAAGAGAGCCTAGACCGAAAAAGTAGTTCATCGAACCATTCAATCGCACCAAAATACATCTAACTTAACAACATATTTATAATCGAATTTACGTTGCCCGCGAAAATTTAGAAGTCACCTTACTTTCTGAACACACCACGTATGCTCAAAACTGTTTGAGAAAAAGCTTGAAACTTAAAAAACAAGCATTAATAAAGGGCTTAATATCCAAATTCATTTTGCATACGAATTTGCTTTCCGGATACAAACATGTTTAATAATACATTATATATTTTACTTTGAATTATTAACTAGCAGTTTAAGAACTACAAGCTTACCAGGCAAACGAACTTTGATAGTGTATATCAGGCTACCATTTCGAGGATAAAACCGAAAATCGGCATCCGTCGGACTTGGCTGTGATGGAAAACCCGTAATAATATGCAGAATATTTTTGTCTAAGCACGTCTGCTTAGCATTAGGTTCAGGACACAATCTAAACTCAAAGTATCTGTGCAAAATAAAGGTGAAGACATTTAATATAACCTTCATAACAGCACAGCTATAACATTACCCCATATGGCTGGCCGTCAATTCAACTCTAATAGACATCTCGGATCCGGGTAAGTACCTACGAACAATCACCCCCTGTCCCCATTGGCCTCCGTTCTCATGTGGTCTTGGCTCTGACAAGTCCCAAGCATCTCCACACTCTCCGCATTTTCCACCATTGTGTTTCCACTGGCGCGTAAAACCGCCACAATACAGCTCATGATCATTGTAATCTGGTGGAGTTTGAAATCCATATCTCCAAGCAGACGCCCTGCTTGGAGGCTCTATAAGCCTTCCATGGGCATTGCAATCATTTATAATGAGTGAGCTGAGTATTAACAAAAAACCACATGGCCTTAAACTTGATATACTTATGGGGGGCACTCGTAGCATATTCTAAAAATAAGCACGAATAATAATTTGTTAGAACAATTTGATTAGCTTGTTCCGCTTCCTGCGATAATTTATACTAAAATATGGCTGTAGTAAAAAAACTATAATTTTATTTTAACCGTTTAGTAGCACCGAAACGTACGTTCCCGAAAATTGTAATTCGATTTAAATCTTTTGTTTTTTACGCAATTCAACCACGCAAACAGTCATGATCATACTGTCTTCTTGGAAATATGTGGACTATATTCGTTTAGCTTAGCCTTCGAAGATTTTCACAAATGTTAACTTAATATGTATATATATAATCGCGAAATTAAAACTGTTGAAAATATTAATATTTTATAATGGAGATCGAATGCATAAAGAAAATAATTTTACTATATACTCGTACAGGCAAAGTAAGGGTAAATTGTTCACCTTGCGAAAGTCACAGCTGAATTCTCATCATATGAGATGCAGAGTATCGTCGTGTGTACAATTTGTTATCCAGCTCGAGTCAGTCGTGGGTAGATGGAAATGCAGTGTAGAACCGATGAAGCCCAAATAATACCAACTAAGGATTTAGCTGCAAATACAACAGTTTGTCAGTTGGTTATTCAATGCTACTATACAGATAAGGAAACAAATACTAATCAATCTAAAGTTACCTATTAAGGTGCGACATTCTTGAAATGTTCCTTAAAAAATAACATTTGAAGTAAAATGTGACTCAACTGTTGTAGATTGTCACAAAACTTCTCTGTTTAATCTTCAGAGCGTTATTCGAACTCAAAATTTGTCGAAAGCTTGAACTTTAATAATAATGTATTTTTACGAAATTACTACAATATCCAGTCATCGCGACAGAAACATCTGGCTTCTAAGATACAAACAACAAGTAAATAAGCTAAAGTCGGGTGTCCCGACTTTGAAATACTCTGTACATATGTTTACAATAATTATAAAAAATAAAAAAAATTAAGAAAATAAAAAAAAACAATTTGATCGATTTTACCTCTCTTGGTATTCGAACTCACGTAAAGGGTGTATAATTGCACATTTACATAGCAATTGCGTCTGTGTGAGTGTATGTATGCCTATGCGCATCTACCAAACCGCATCAACAACAGCCGCGGGCAGCGCTTGAGCAGCGCTGCAGCAGCAAATATATTTATGGCTATAACTTCTTGTTAAATCGGTCTATCATAGTGAAACTTGGCATACGGACACATAATTACTAACTGGGGGTATTTGCAAAATTTTAGTTCGAAATTCCAAGAATTACGGGAGTTAGATAAAATCGCATTTGCGGGGGAGAGCGGGGAGGGAGGGAAATTCCAAAATATTCATTTTCTGCGTATTCACACAAGGCATCTTGGACTAAAATTTGATGTTCCTAGGTCTTATAGTCTGCGAGATATAGGCGATTATACGAATGGAAAATCGGGAAAATCCCCATAGGAGAGAAGTGGGGGGAAAATCAAAAAAATAAAACAAATTCGTATAGCGTACACACATAAGGCATCTTTGTGCAAAATTTGGTGTCTCTAGCTCTTATAGTCTCTGAGATCCAGGTGATCATACGGACGGACGGACGGACAGACAGACAGACAGGGCTAGATCGACTCGTCTCGTCATGCTGATCAAGAATATATATACTTTGTGGGGTCTGCCACGCCTCCTTCTGCCTGTTACATTTTTCAGCTCGCGCAAACCTAATATACTCTTGTATATTTCATGTACAGAGTATAAAAATAATTAAATTAAAAAAAATTTAATTAATTTATTAAATTAATTAAGAAAATCTATTTAATACATACATAGAAGACATGTTTATGTACAGTTTTACATTTACATCACATGTCTATGCGTGTTTATATACGTGTATGTATGCAGAACAAAGTTGAACCCAAGCAGCAACAACAACAACAGATGCGGGCAGCGCTGCAAGCAGAGCATGAGCAGCGATTTTATTTATGGCTATAACTTTCTTCAGAATTGACCTATCATGATGAAACTTGGGGGGTGTATCAGAATAAAAAATAGACTTGACCTGCCTAGGGCTTATGGGAATCTGGATACCGAGTTTGAATATTCTAGCTCTTGTACCTTCTGAGATCCTTGCGCTCATACAGACGGACGGACGGACAGACGGACATGGCTATATCGACTCGACTTGTCACCCTGATATATATATATATACTTTGTGGGGTCTGCCACGCCTCCTTCTGTATGTTACATAAATTCCCACAAAACTAGTATAGCCTTTTACCCTTTGGGTACAGGCTATAATGAGTAGGAAGCTAGAGTTTTGCTCGCCCGGTTCAGTAATTATGTATTATTATACTATGTACATGAAATGTACAGTGTAGAGTATATTAGGTTTGCGCGAGCTGAAAAATGTAACGGGCAGAAGAAGGCGTGGCAGACCCCCCATATTCTAGATCAGCATGACAAGACGAGTCGATCTAGCCATGTCTGTCTGTCCGTCCGTATGAACACCTGGTTCTCAGAGACTATAAGAGCTAGAGACTCCAAATTTGTGATGCCTTATGTGTGTACGCTATACCAGTTTGTTTTATTTTTATGATTTTCCCCCCCATTTTCCCAATAATGGGGTTTTTCCGTAACGCCGTTCGTATAATCGTCTATATCTCGGAGACTATAATACCTTATGTGAATACGCAGAAAATGTGTTTTCTGTTCGGTGTCTGTTCGTTGTTCAATTTGTTTAAGCGGAAAATTCATAGGCTCTTAAAACGTTATAAACCTCAACAGATGCAATTTTTCAAATTAACGGATGATAAACCGTCTCAGCACAGGCAAGAGCTCACATTTCCTTGAACTAAAGAGAAATGTAAGACATTTCATTGACAGACAAAAACAACAAGAACAATTTTGAAATACTTAAATACGTTTTTGTGCTACAATCCAGCAGAATTCGGTAATTAGAAGTCACTTAAACATGATCTTGTTTTAACTTGATACTAAATTTAAAATGTGAATCCGTGTGCGCCATAATAAAAAGGCGACGCCTGCCCAGCTTTAATGCAAACCAACAATTCGGCAACTCATAAACGGCTACAAAGGAAAACTGGTTTTGAATATAAATTGAGTTTAATTTAATCTCATCAGCAAACTCAGCGCTTTTAGCGACTCAGTTTAAAGACAACTTTGTTCCACTCGATTCCATAGCTGATTAAATTAAATTAAACTCTATATATATATATATATATATATATATATATATATATATATATATATATATATATATATTGTACCATATTTATCAAGCCTACAGAGCATGATGACACATTTTTAGAGCACTATATATTTTAAGAAATGACAACTCTTTTACAATCAAATACATACGAGTATAGTTAATACACTCGTATGTATGTACACACACGTATACGCTCTAATAGGCGTCAGCCCTTTGTTGGCGAGTTCGCAGATAGCCAACATTTTGAAAGTTATGTATATAAATAATATTGTCAAGTATATAAATGTACATTTGTATGCAGCACATACATACTCGTATTTATGAGTATGTATGTATATACTGCCTTGTTCATGAGATAATTCTGACAGAGAATGGGCAGGAATAAATAGGATGAAGCTTAATATTAGGGCATATAAGTACTAATAGAATATACGAGTATTGCTGAAAAATTACGGAAATTTGAATTACAAACATTTACCGAGGGTAAATCCTATTCAAATTTTATTTTTCGTATTCCTTTAGCTTTGTTATGCAAAGAAGTCCTACAAAGTTCGGTAGCTCCACCTCTTAAACTTTCTCAGATTGATGCGTTCATACAGACAGGTCGACGGGCAGACGACCATGTCTGGAACCACTCATTTCATTATGCCTTTTGGCTGTTACATTCATTCTCATCAATCTGGTCTACATAAATAGAAAGTGGTAACTGAAGGCAACCACCGCAGTGTCTGCTGATTTTAGAGTTTTAATATATTTTATACCATTGGATACATATTTTGTTGGTGTCTGGGAAAAAATTCACAATTCACACGAATTCACACACATATAACTATTTAAGGCAGTCATACTATTGCTGAAAGATAATGCGTTCACATCATATCTTTCTTCAAAATTCATATATATGTACATAAATATACACACATATAGGTACGTAATACATACATATATACATTTATTTATTTTTTTATTTATATTATCGCAAACGTGCGAATACTCAGTTCAAGCCCGAAGTGAAAGTAAGGGGACGTGCTGAACTTTTTTCTTTCTTTTTTAATTTTACTTTTGTTTGTTTAATTCGCACATATAAGAAAACGAGTCGAATGCTAATGATAATAGCGTTCAGTTCTAATTAAGAAACATTTTATTTAAGCCTGCGTTTCTCCGAAGAATATAAACATATTATTTGAAATCCTTACGTTCCCACCTACAGTGGCTCAATCAAACTTAAACTTACAAATTACAAATATCATTAAATCTAAAATATATTTTTTTTAGAAAGGAATCTTGAAGTTCTTCACTGAAATTTAACTCTTTTCACATCCAAATCTTATACAAACATAATACTTGTATTTATATATTGCGAAGGTTACCGTATTTTCACTATTTCGCCAATGCACTAAAAAGACAAAAGTAGAACTGAGGCTCAATTAAAGCCGACGTTACTTTCGATTTAAAATGGGCCACGCCGATGCTGAGGAAGCTTTAGAGTTGGACCGTGCGCGGCTTTTTAATTTCCAACGACTACTAAGTGTGTGCTGAATGAACGCCATCAGTTTTCATGGTTACCGGTTCGTTTGAGTGTCTTCTGTTAAATAACAGGTTTAGAGAAAACTCAAATTCGGTTTGAAGAGCACCAAAAATTTTAGTGAGCGAAGAGCATTAGTGGCTTCTTGGTTTCATGCTTGGCCTTAGCTTCAGTGCGACGTTAGTTATGGTTCGAAACATAAACAGGCGACAGTGTGTAGCAATAGATCCAGCGTATTATGTACTCGTGTGTAATTGGATTGAAATGGCCATCCCTGTTTATTAAATCGGAACAAATGTACTTCATAACTTCCTATAGTGGAAAGTACGTAACGCTACAAATTTGT